GAGGAGAGGGCCATGCTGCCCACGACCATCGGCTCACAGTTCGAGGCGGAGCGTGCTCTGGCCGAGCTGAGGACCGTGAGTCGCGTCGTCGGTGACCCGCGTGATTCCGAGGAGTACACGTATTGGGAGACATCTTCGCATGACACTCTCGCCTACGCCTTTTACAGCGTGCCGGATCAGTACAGGAACGTCCCAGCAGTGAAGTCCGCCTCGCGTATCTTTGACCAGATTCCCGACGGCCAGCTCGTGCGACCGGACAAACCGGAGCCTGCTGTTCTCCGCCTCAGCGCGGTGAAGGGCACTGAAGACACCCGGCGAAACCTCGAGAAGCTGAAGGAGGAGTCCATCAAGAAGAATATGGTCATCCTCGGCGCCAGGAGAGGCGAAGATATCGCCCCCAGGATCGGAAACACGATCGCTACTCTGTGCGCTAAGGTCGGGGATATTGCCCGATTCCTGGAGATGGGAGTGAGATCCAGAGCAGGACCTATCCTCCCGACCAGGAGTGACCCTGACCTGATGATCCAGGCCATTGTTCCCGCACCCGAGGAGCTTCTGGATTACTTCGCCGACGAGATCCGTCAGAAGGTGGAGAGTAGGACGGGCGCCTCTTCGCACTACTACAGGAGAGCATGCGCGGAAATACGCGACGCGCTCCGTGGAACAGCCGTGCAGCCCGGAAATGCAGGCGCGGTCAAGGACCCAGAATTGGAGGCCTCGTCTGCCAGCGGGCAAGGGAACGTCACTTCGGTGATACAACTGAAGAAGTTCCTGAGCCACTACTTCGGGACCAGCGTCGAGTCTGAGGATGCCTTTTCATCGTACCTCTTGTCTTCTTTCCTCGAAGACGGGGTGGGAATGTTCGAGATCATCATCACCGTCATTCGTGACAAGGAGCGTCGATTGCTGCCTGGTTCCGCCCGCATAGCGGCGGTAAGGTCGCTTGAGATCGGATCCGACACTGATTACCGAGCATTTCGTGAACGATATCAATACATGCTCTACGAGAGCCCTGTTTGTCTTCCTATCACATCTAAGGTGGTTCCCAAGACACTCTACAAGGTGGTGCCTCTCCGGATGTATCGGCTCTACGTAGAACGTGGGGCGATCATTCGGGGTGGGCGAGCTCTGATTGAGCTCCTTCCCTCCAGGCCGGATGAATATCAATCCCTCCGCGATCACGGTGAATGCCCCAACGACACTGTCGACCGCATCACTGACAGCAATGTGACGGAGCTGCACACCTCGGGTCGACGCCAGAGGAGCGATCCCCGATATGTGGTCATGGCTATCGATGCACGTTTCTTCTCCATGGAAAATGGGGGCATGCATATTACTCGTCAGGGTACCTTTGCATCGCGCGAGAACATCGCGATCGGGTACTGGAGATGCGTCTACTTCAAGGAGGACTGCTCCATCATTTACTTGAGGCCTTGGTGCTATCCGCCCAACTTCCTCAACTCCGTGAGTGAGAACCCGAGGAAGTGTCGGGACGAGATGGAGAAGTATCACCAGATCACCAAGGCGGAGCATGTCCGCGAGGTGCTGTCCGTTCCATGCCATAGGTGCATGACGGCCCACCCGATCGGCGCTCACCTCTGCACCGCCTGCTACCTTCCCATCTTCTATGAGGGCGTCCTGCCCACCGGAGACACGAACGGCGGCCCTCGCACGATAGCGAGCACCGACGGGGTGATTCCCACCTGGCTGGCGAAATACGGGGGCGTCGTCCCCGCTCTGTGGAACAACGCAGACGCCAACGCCATCGGAATGGCCCTCTACTCACAGAGTCCCGCCGTTGATGCCCGGTCCTTGCTGATGTCTGGGATGCGACCTCCTAAGTACCTCGACAAAGAGGACGTGGACGGCATTTTCCGGAAACTTCACGACTCGCTCCGAGACGAAGTTCTTGACGGCAAGTACCGTGACACTGTTGACCACAATGTGGAAGAGTGGGTCGCAAAGGCGATCTTGGTGAGGGGTCTTGCCTTCAACGGGAGCTCCGTCCCCGACTTTTTCGAAGAATATGAAGGATATGCGGCTGAGTGGGGCAGACGCCTAACCACCGCAAACTTCAACGCCAACCGCTGCGGCTTTTACACGTCTTACTATATGGTCGAGGCCCATATCATTGGGCTGAGATCAGGGCACCTTTCTCCGATACTCCCCAACGATGTGTCCGGGGAGGCGTTCAAGGCCCAGGTGGAACTGCTCGCGCAACACTGTGGGATAATGCAAGCCATGCGGAGGAAGGCCGGTTTCGATCCCGCCGCGCGTCTCAAACAGGCTATGGACACGATACGGGAAGGCATAAAGAAGGGCTACGTCTACACGCTCAACGACCTCAGCAGTATGGATGAGCTGATCTACCGGACGTCCACCGTTGCCTACGACACATGCCTGGCCGACCGTCCGCAGACCCAGGACGACATCAAACAGGAGCTGGCCGATCCTGTACCAAGGAAATACCGCTTCCGACCCCGCGATCGCCATCGGCCCGGAATCCGCCTTACACCAGGCCCCGGCGTGAAAGACGAAGAAGAGCCCGACTTTGCTGGATCAGCGGAGGATGAGCTGGGATCGGATGGATCTTCGCACAAAGATGATGAGAAGCCTGACGACCTTGACGAGCCCATGGGCGACGATGAGGAGGAGATCCCTCCCCCTCCGCCACCGCCCCCGGCTCCTCCTGCGCCGCCTGTCCCGGTAGAACCGGAGACTCCCGTGGTGTCTCACACAGGCGTCGGTTCTGGCGAAGCTGTGCCACTTCCTCCTCCTCCTCCCCCCGCTCCCATTGCTGCGGGCGTTACAACGGCTGGGGACCCGTTTGAGGAAGAGGACATGGCCGTCAATACTCGTGTCCCTGACACCGAGTCCGAGCTGGAGGGTGACACCGACCAACCCAAGGCCAGGAGGACATCTCGTGGTCGGGTCCCTGCGCCCGAGAAAGGGCAGGGGGGCCTGGCGGGCAACCCAGCTCTAAGAGCATGGCCCAGCCTGCCCGTCCGTCCCCGGTCCCCGCGAGAAGCGGTGCGGAAGGGGGGGAGAGAAGGGGCAGAACCAAGGGGTTCTACACCCAGAAGGATCCTTTTACCGGCGAGGACGCAACTCCCCGGGTTCGTCTTCAATCGGGCGGTCCCGGAACCCCTGCGTCCCCACCACGGGAGGCCACTGGTTCCTTGGGCGGCCGTGGCGGCTATGACCCGCGCGATGACGACGACGAAGAATGGGAGCTTCCCCCGGGCGTGCCTCGGACCACTCGTGCGGCCAATGAGTCACGGCCCCACCGAGATGACGATCGATCAAGGACCGCGCTTGGGGCCCGCGAGGATCGTCGCGGCCCTAAGGGTGAGGGGAAGGGTCGAGGAAAACATCGACCTGGCAAAGGTGGACGCGAGGATCCTGGCCCGCCCCGACAAAGGGATGATCGTGGCAGGGATACCCGCGGAGGCCGACGCGATGATCGCCGACCTCCTCCACGTCATGAGGAGCCCTCCGAGAGGCGCGGTCCGGGGCGAGATGAGCGCCGCGGACGTGATGACCCGGCTGATGACCGTCGCGATCGCCACCGGGACCGGCGCAGGGATGACCGACGTCACCAATCAGATCCCCCTCCGCCTCGCCGACATCCGGCTGGCGACCACAGTAGGGGTGGTGGTGAGGATCGCCGTCGGGATGGAGGAGGCGATCGAGGTGACCGCGGTGGACGTCGGAGAGATGACGCACCCAGAGACCGGGAAGAACCCGGTTCAGGGTGGTAGGCAGGTACCGCAATCAGCATCCGCCTTAGAAGGGCGAGGATGGCACGTGTGTCGCCGAAAAACGCGACCGCGCCGATCCTCCTCTCGCCCATGCGGCACTGCTGGGGGTGATGGTCTCCATTGCCCTGTACCGCTGATCCGGCGTTGCTCGTGTTCCTCCCGCACCGCTGCCGTGCGCGCTGGTGACGGTTCCCCTGGCGATCCTGTGTGAGGCTGTGACCGCACTAGAAGTGCCGGGCCGGCCGTAGCCGGATATTTTTCACACCAATTTCGGAACGTCCTTTTCCTTTTTCCTCCCAACTCGGTTACTCCTCCAACCACATTACGGCATGCAGTGAGGCGCGGTGATCCAGATAGGGTCCCCCTCCGCATGTTGCTGTCCCATGACAATGCATGAACGGCACGAGAGGAATCTTCGTCTGGCTCCTCCAATATGTCCTTGTTCACTCATGTGGCCCACTCGTCAAATAATCCTGTCGCCCCGCTAATTCGGGGTGGTGGCGGGATTTTAACTGGGGCCCGGGTGCTGCCGTTTGGCTCACCTCTGAGTTGACACCGGCATTTTTGGTTGGTTCCTTTCGTCGTGAACTCAACTGTCTCGCATCCTTTCTCTCGTCCAGATATCGGATGAGGGGGGTGTGTTTTGTTCACGTGTTGTTTCTTCATGTGGCAAAACGGCCGAATGGCCGTTTGGCTCAAGTTTAAACCTCCCGTCAGGGGTCCCTCGGATCTGCGTGCATCCGCCATAGCACGGCGGCTTGCGTCATCACCGGGAAAAGGTCCTGGTGCTGCCGCGGCCGGTGTTAGGTGGTGGGTGGCTGGTCGTCGAGGACTTCCTGGGCCTGGTTCTGAACTTCACTTTCTGTTGTAACCTGTTTTCCAACCCTCCCAAACTTGATCTTCTTCAACTGTCACTCCCTCAACCTGGTCATCAGCAACTTCACCATTGTGCGTTGGGACTGGGTTCTTTTGGTACTTCGTGGATCACGTGTACCTCTTTGATTCCCTGGGCTACTTCGTGTTCGCCCAAAACCGCAGAAACAAAGCCATGTCCCCTGGTCGTTTTGAACACCTCAAACTTACCATACTTACCTGAGTGGGGCTGCTTGTCCTCTAACCCACCACTTGTGGGGAGGCACCTGGAACACCTTGTTGCTCTTGCAGGGACCCCCTGCTGCACGCTTTTTGCTGGCAGAGGGGGTTTGGAAGACGTCACTTGAATCCACCCAGAGTTCTGAGGGGACGCGGCCTTTCACATGTACCTGGTGCTCAGCGGCACCTTCGCTTTCGTGGCCCGCCCCGAGCGCGCCACGAAGAGCCCCAGGGCCTCAGCAGCTCGGCGCGCTCGGGATGCCTCGCGGGGAGAAGGGCGGGACCCCCACAAGAAAACCGCGGAGCTCCGGTGGGTTACTCCTTTTGTTTCTTCTTCTTCTTCTGGTGGTTCTCTTGTTCCATGTTCAGGTGTTTGTCTTTTTGGCGGGGGGTGAGTGGGTCCTTAAAAAGAGACAAGAACGATACTGTAGGATGATGCCCCTGCTTTCCCATGGCCGCTGGGCCCACCGAGATATCCAAAAAACTCCCACCTTATGCCGGAAGGGCCTCCCGTTTGAGTTTTTATGAACATTTAAACGATCATGATGCCCTGTTAAGTGGGGGTTCTTTGTCGCCAAGAACGACCAATCACTCACTGTCCCTAGCAACATGAAGCCTGGCTGGATGTCATGTCAATGGACGACAATCTTCCGGGCCTGGTGGGTTCCATGTTGGTTTCTGGGAATCGGAACGCAGCGCACGCTGAGGAGATGTGGCCGTACCAGCTGTTCTCTCACAGCAGCTCCTTGCCTCGTTGGCCTCAGAGGGCCGATTCCCGCCCCCACCTTTCGGGTGTCGTTTGTGAAAGGGGGGCGTGCCCCCAATTCCACGAGCCTCCAAATACATGTCCCTTTGCGCATGGCGCAACGTGCGTGGATCAAGGGCCTTCCCCTCCAATGGCGTTGTAGGGCGGAACTTATGCCACCGACTTCCAGTTGTGGGTCTGCAGGCGTGCTGCGAAGAAACCAGTTGGACAATCAGCAGGAAGTGCGCCTGACCCACGGAAGACTTTGCAGTTTCGTCCACTCCCGGCGGATTTCCACAAAGCCTGTAATCATGCGGCTGGTGTGCTTATTCATCCCCACCCCCGCGCGCAATGGGCTGAGGCTACTTTGGCAACTTCGAGCTGCACAGCGGATTGAAGCAGCCGCCCGGATCGCAGCTTTGGGTCCTTGCGGATCGGTGAACTTGTCGTGGTTCGCCTTGAGCAGGGCACCCACTCAAAAGGGACGCTGAGCTCAAGTTCTCCATGAGTAATACAAAGTGGCTCAATGACCTGCCCTCTTTCCTGCGCATGATGTGGGCACTTGTTTTACTGCGTCGTGCCAGGCCCGACTCCTCAATCCTTCTCTTTTGTCACAAAGGATTTGGTCCTCTTTGCATTGGTTTACCAAATGCTATGCCGTGAAAAGTGGCACAGTTTTCCCATGTTGGTTTGGTCATCCCCTTTATCTTCACACCTACATTTTTCCTACAGGGGCTATCCAGATTCTAGCACAAAAGCCTGGCCCCGAAAGACGGGGAGTGGGGGCCAAGCAAAATAGGAGTAAACATTCGAAGAGAAAAAAAGACACATCATATCAAACATGTGGATGCCATGATTCCATTTGCAGCGAGGGTGGGGTTGTAGTTTATATTTTGGCTTCCTTTACCATGGACCCTGAAAGGGTGCCTACAAAAGGACACACCCCGGAACCTACCACTTGGTGAATCATATGCTGTCAGCTGTAACCACCTTCGGCGTGATCCCTCCAACACCCACCCCGCCCCAAGGAAAACGAACTTCCAGCATCCCCGCGTGTTTTTCCGGTTCGCCGCCTCTGCGCATTCGCCACTGAGGTTCCGGCGCACCACGGCGCGCTGCGAGTCGGAGTTCGGCCAGGCGCTGCGCCTGCAGCGGGAGCACTACCACCGCCTCTGCGGGGAGTTCCCACAGCCTGGGCCCAAGTGTGGGGCGGATTGTGGGGAGGGGTATGTATTTCTGTAGAAAAAGCCAGTGTGGGAGTGTGAGTGTGTGATTGTGTGTGGGTGGGAGTGTGACGGTTGATTCATTTGCAAGGGGAGTTGGGTGGCCTTCGTCGTGAGGTTCGCCGGGGCCTGGAACTACGAGGCGCAGCGGCGGGAGGCCCTGCGGGTCCGACTGCTGTCGCAGCACACCAAGATGCACAATTACCGCCGCTTGGATTTTGGGCGGGTGGCCGGATGGCCGGGGAGGGGGAGGTGGGAAGCAGTGGGACACACACACACACACGGACACATGGCATAGCGGTCTTCTTCACCACGAGCCAAAGAATTATTCCGGCTTTCACACGTGCCAAGCATCGTTGCTGTTATGGCCAACTGGGACAGGGCCGATGAGGATCAGTGATCAGGAAAGCTTTGAGACGTGCGCTTGCCGCCATCTGCTGCGCGTGCAGAAAGGGGGAAGGTTACTTCGTCCAGCCAGCTCCACAAAGGACTCTTGTCATGTTTTTTCAAGAGACGCCAAGCTCAAGATGGATTGAGTTGGAGCTTGCGGCAAGAGTGTGCATCACACAACAAGTCTCAGCACTTTGCAGGCAGCTTGTTAGCATCATGCAAGCAGAGTAGCACGCATTTCCGTTTTGCCTTCGACCCGAATATCGAACTGGGAAACTTGCCTGCCAGGGTGTTGGGATGCTGCAGGAACTCCAGGCCCAGCAACAATTGTTTGGCATCCCTAAGCTATGCTTACATGTTCGGAAAGGCTAAACATTGTCGGTCTGGGCCTGTTTGGAATTGCACTCAAGTTTTTGGCACTCACGTCTCTAAACACTCAATCTTCAGACTCCCTGCATTTTTGGAAGGCTTGGCGTTGGATGGTCCCCGTGCTTTTTGGCAACAGGCACCTTTGCAGCTGCCACTTGCGTGGTTCGCCTTTCCCCTTCGGTCACCTTGCCAACTCAAAGTGAGTTTCCTCGGGTGCGCTTTGGAAGTCGCGCATCAGGCATCTTGGCAGCCCGGCGCGTGCAGAAGTACGTGCGCCAGCGGTGGAAGCTGGCAAGAGAGGCGCGCGGTCAATCGCACGCAGTCGGGGTGCCGACCAGGGCCCAACCGAAATGCCCCGCTTTGGGCCAAGAACCCAGCTGGCCAAGTGGTGGGGATACTAAAGCCCACACGAAGAATGAGCTCACCTTCTATGGAGCCTGTGTTTTGTTGGGACCCAATCAGCCCATATGTGTTTGCAGTGATGTTTGCAACAACGCTGAAACGCCCTGTTTGTTCGCGTAGTATGGTTCCCGTGCGCTTGTGTGTTTGTGTGTTTGTGTGTTTGTTTGTTTGTTTGTTTGTTTGTTTGTTTGTTTGTTTGTTTTGTTTGTTTGTTTGTTTGTTTGTTTGTTTGTTTGTTTGTTCGTTTGTTTGTTTGCGTGCGTCCGTGCGTGCGTGCGTGCGTGCGTGCCCTTTGGTGCGCACTTAGCACGGGATGGCGGGATGAAGCGAGGTTTGTTTTACGCAGGCGTCATTTTTTAAACCTAAGGCAGGCTTCTGCTTGAGCGAGGGGTGCGGCCCAGCTATGATGTTCTGCCCCATTGACGGCGAGAACGTCGTGTCAAACAAGTCTCGTAATGGGAGGGGCTGCAACCTTTTACAGTGTTTCTCGTTTGGGTCTGCCAGCGACTCCAATTGCCTACCATCCGGCAAAGGCCAAAGTTTGGCCCACTTTCTTCACGGGGCTAAATGTTTCTGGCGGACTATCCATGCAGCCGCACGCCAAGGGCTCGTACCGGGGCATGAGGGCCTTCCCACTTCCCAGCCAAAAGCCAAGAGCTCATGACACCGAGGGAGATGGCCGGCAACGGATGTGCAAAGTCAAAGCACAGCTTTGATCGATTGCACACAACCAGGGGAACTTCCTTTCTTGGAGCTAGTGTGCGCCAGAAATCCGTACCAGGGGGTTCCCACTGACATGAAAAAGCCAGCGGGGTCTCCTTGGGCCCGTTTCAGACGGGCGCCCCATTCCCTCCCACCCCCCAAAAAGGTGCGAGGCACACCCAAAGCCCCAGACTGCCAGGCGATCTTGCAGGGGGAGGTGAGCCCACGGGAGGTGCAGCCGGACATTTGCATGGACATGAGCCGCCCGGACGGATCGACCCACATGTTCTGAGCCCGAAGTAAATAGCAAAGCTCCAGGTAGAGGTGGGTAAGCAAAAAGGCTAAACCTCCAGGGGCTGGATATGCCATTAAACAAAAGGGCCACTGCACTATAATTACAAACCACTACCCTGCAGGGGTGAATGTGATAGACAAGCCACTATAGGGCAGTATATGCCACTATATAAAGGGTAACTCCGGCTTTCCCTTGGGGGGGGGGGGGAAACGAGCAGTTCTACTCATCACAAAGGTCCCGCTTGCTGAGAGGCTCCTGTGCGCAAGCTTCAGAACCAATTGCTGGGATGCAATTTGGTTGGCACTATTGGTACCTCAGAGGCGTCCCCTAAGATGATGTTCGCCGGACATTGTCCTGACGGCCAACACTGTGCAGCGATGTTTCAGTTCTCAGTTGGTTGCTAATCAGAGGGTTCCTCTGCAAATTTAAACAAGATAGCCAATACCCCCAAGCAGGACCCCCCTCCCGCCCCCGCACCCTGAGTACTATAGCAATCGGGGGGGGGGGCTTGTTGCCGCTAGCCCATCCCATTGTGAGCCGGGCTGTGTGCGTCTATGAGGCAAGCGCAGACGTCGGCTTCTCCGGCAAGCTTGTTCATTTCTTCAAAGTTGTTTTGCTCCCGCTGCTCAGGCGGATGAGCATCAACATGCACACAACGAAATTGGACGAATCTGTTTGCATCACATGTTGGCACCTTTGCAGCTGAAAGGCTGCTCTCTTCGATGCGGTTTTGTTTAGCCTGCTTTTCCAGCTCCTTCCTGACCACCCCGAGCAACACACTGCCACCTTGCGTTTGGGTTGTCAGCCGGTGACTTGAACCGGCCTGCTGGCCAAGCCGGGCCCAGTGCGTTGTTCCCTGTTTCCTTATTTGTTTGGTGGCTTCCGAACTTGAATGAGCAAAAATCACCAAACACCTCCGTCCCCCCCCCCCCACCTCTGCAAAGAAAGAGATAGAGAAAGAGAGAGAGAGAGAGAGACAGAGAGACATGTATGAATACATATATAAAGATACATGCATATATGTTAGCTGTATTCAAGAGGTCGTTAACGGCATTTTCCAGAAAACCTGGGCAAGTGGCGCGCGAGGGAAACGCGCGGGCGAGCGAGCGGGTAAACGTACAAGTGTGCGAGCGCACGCGCGAGTAGACGGACGAGTGGACGGACGAGTGCGCGGTTGGACGGACGGACGGACGGACGGACGCACGGACGCGCGCGCGCACGCACGCACGCACGCACGCACCCGTCCGTAGAGAAATAAGGGCAGAAATAAGACCATTTTATGGTCTTAAAAAAGGTCTTATTTCTGTACGGGCCCGCGCGTGCAGAAATAAGACCTCTTCTAAGACGATAAAATGGTCTTATTTCTGCCCTTATTTCTGTACGGAAGGGTGCGTGCGCGCGTGCGCGTTCGTGCGCGCGCGCGCGCGCGTGTGCGTGCGTGCGTGTGTGCGTGCGTGCGCGCTCGCGCGCTCGCGCGTGCGTGCGTGCGTGCGCGCGCGTGCGCGTGCGTGCGTCCGTCCGTCCGTCCGTTCGTCCGTCCGTCCGTCCGTCCACTCGTCCGTCAACTCGTCCACTCGTCCGTCCACGCGCTCGTTGCTTCAAAAGCACCCCCCGTACGCCCCACCTCGCGCGTTTTTGAGAATTATACGTTTACGAGTTCTTAAATTTAGCTAACATATATGTATATAATATCTATCTATCTATCTATCTATCTATCTATCTATCTATCTATCTATCTATTTATGTATCTATCTATCTATCTATCTATCTATCTATCTATCTATCTATCTATCTATCTATCTATCCATCTATCTATCTATCTATCTATCTATCTATCTATCTATCTATCTATCTATCTATCTATCTATCTATTTATCTATCTATCTAATATATATATATATATAATACAGATAATGTATTCCCAGCCTCTTTGGGGTCACTTGGCTGGACGTCCATGCCTCGCGCGTGTGAGGGCGGACCTCCTGGCACTCCTCCTCTGGCGAGGCCAGCGAGACCTTGGCCTCGCTGTCCATCGGCTCGGTGTGCCACCAGCGCCTTGGCCGGACACAGGACCTGTTTTTTCAGACGTCAGACACCCTTCTGGGTGAATTACAACGACCTCACACGACCCCACCCCAAATGGCGGTTTATGTGGGGAATAGCCCCCCAATCACCTTATTTCAGGTTGGTGAAATATTATAATTCACCTGGCTCCCAAGCATCCGGTTCCTTAGCCCCTGGGCTTTTTCAGGGGAAACAGCGCTGGTTTCCATTTGACCCGCTAAGAGTTAGAATCTGTTAGCAGGGGATCTGAGGACAGCCCAGAATCCCTAAACACACATATACCCAAAGAAGGAGGTTGCAACATCAACCCGAAGTGTGCACCATATATTAGGGGATGTGGTCGAAGGACAGCTTGCGATTTGATTTTGGACTGTCCGGGCTAGACGAGGCAGTTGGTAAGGGCTCACCGTAGTCAAGAACCGGTGTGAGTACCGGGGCGCAAGCAAAAGCTTTTGACAGGTAGGGCACGAGCACTCAGGAAGTAGTCATTGACTGCTTCTGCAGTGCTCTTGCCCTACTTGCCTGTGGCGAGTCGGGGAAGCTTTCTCAGCCATCATCATGTGGGTGTGTCTTAAAAGAGGGGAACCGCCAAACTGTTGGTGTTTCCTGTCCCCTTTAAGCGTACCCTGAGCGAGCATCGCTTTCTCAGACTCAAGTGTGAAAGGCACCAACCATTGAGCTGGGCCACGAGTACCTTGACGCATTTCGCCCACAGACCTGAGCCAAAGCTTTTGTGAAAGCTGAATGAAGTCACTCCTCGTGTGATGACATTAGTTTACAAGAGGAAGGCTGAGTGCGCAACCCGCTCGGGTTCGCACGAGCACCGAGATGGTGTGGGGAAAACTTGGGCTTTGCTGTGCTTACGCACGCGGTGTCTCTCTCTGTGTTTCTGTGTCCTTGTGTCTCTGTGTTTCTGTGTCTCGATGTTGTTTTTCTTGTCTCTCTCTCTCTCTCCCTCTCTTTCTCTGTGTTTGTGCTTGGTTGTCTGAAATAATAAATATATCTATCTATCTATATGTAGATATGATGTTTGTGTTTGTGATTAGCGAGCTCGACCTGGTTTTTGCGTTGATTGTTTACCGAGGAGGTCGGACAACAACGTCGTGCTGCGCCACATGCCCGGCAGTCCTGCGGACCGCATGGGCATAGAACGCAGGCCCAAAATGGAGGAGGCGCCTGGGGGGAGGTCAACCGGACGGGGTGCAAAGCGATTGCGAGCAAACGGCGAGAGAGACGGAGAGAGTGAGGGAGATCCATTGGGCCATTGGGTTTGAATGAAGCCAAGGTCTCAATCAGGTTGACCTTGTTTATAGGGTTTATGGGAAATTGGGCATTACTTTGTGCCAGTGAAACTTTGTAGCTTACCCCGCTTTCCTCAGGCTTAAGCTTGAATCAGCTTGCCTTCGCTGCTCGCCAGGAATTTAGGTCGTATCTTGCTCCAACCTTCCGCCTTCCATGTGGCTGATTTCTGATCACGACTCATGCAGCTATCACCGTTGGAATCTGCCTCGAGTCTTTATTGCGCTTCCCCTGAGCCTCATGCAGGACTCTTCAAATTAAGCCTGCCACGTAGTTTAGATATTCTCGTGCCAGGGTCCCTATGTGTTGCAAAGCAAGGGGGCAACTATTCCAGACCGCCTGCAAACCGTTATGAATCAGCCGAAAATCGCGTTCGGTTTATGATGATCATGCATTGTGCCTTTTTAGGCAGTTCAGAGTTCAATATTCAATTGAATGAACATGTCGTTGACAACTACATGTGCAACTTATCTTTCAAACCAATCGAAGAACAAGGTTTGTGTGAGTTATACAGCAGAAGCACTGTTTGAACAAACATGTTCAAGCATCAACATGTTAAACATCAATGTCAACTAAACAATTGTACAATCAACACCTTCCTCAAGCTACAAGCACAACTGACCATCACCATAAACATGATGGCAAAGATGCAGAATGTGTTGTGCCAGTTTAACCGGAACTTGTACCACCCTATTGAACATGTCATGCACTCATGCCATATAGTCATACTTCAAAAAGTATCGAATCATAGCGCAAGTGTCTCGATAGGTGAGGGTTCTCAGCTGCACTTGTTGGACTGATGGTCATTGCAGTTTCCACGTTGGCGAAAAGCAAGAGTGCATCGCTTTGCTATGTTCGCTATGGCTTGTGACCAGGGTAAGGGAGGATTCTGTGCTCATCAAACGCCTCACTCAGATTGCCTGAAGTGCATTTGCCAGGTTGGTGATGCTTGATGCCATGCCCTAACGGAAAACAGTGACCAAGTGACCAAGCGACCCTCACAAGCAATTTAGAGCCAACCTTAGGGCTTTCAGGGATCGCGTTCCTTCCAAGGATTCCATGCCTGATGGGTGGGGGGGAGCTTTCAGCATCCGCTCGCGTTAAGCTTTGGGACTCGGTGGCCAAACAGGGGCCTGTAGGCGAGTGAACATAGTAAGCCCCACAAGGGAAGAGGGTGTTGCGTCACTGGACTGGGGAGCTCCAATTGCATGGCATGCCCTTCCTCCCACCAACATGGCACCTGGTCCCCTCCAGAGAAAAAAGTATCCTTTCAGGTGCAACTGCCACAGGCGCTGTGTTAGGATGGTAGTGAGAGGGAGCGTGATCCCAATGCAAGCTCAGTCCAACATGTTTTGCGTCATGATCCGCGGGATTGCGATAGAGGACTCTTGGCTGGGTACCGTGCCTGCGCCCTCGTTCCAACAATGATTGATATGGACGTCTAGGGCAATTCAAGGCGTGGTCTGCTTCCAAAGCCCTCCTGTGGCATGGCCGCCAATAAAAAGCCACTGATCAACAGAGCGCATGCTTGCCCACCTTCCCCGAATATCCCCTCCCCTTTTTGGGCGAAATGCATGGGCCTGCCAGGAGTTGTTGATGCGCCAGCAGCAGCTGCAGGAGCTTCGGCGTCGAAAGCTGCCCAATTTTTTTTGCCGCCCTCTGGGAAACTCAATCGGAGCCACCAAAGGGGATCCCACTCCGCCAAAAGACTTTTTTGGGTTGCAGGGTATGGCCTCTCTGGGTGCAACTGTGGAACCTTTGGCAATGCTTTCCCTATGGTAATTAGGGCGCTGTTCGAGTTGCATGTTTTGTTTACAGAACAGGCTTAGTTTCCCAAAGCGAAGTGACCTTTTGACCCATAAGGTCTCTCGCTTTGTTTACCCATAAGGTCTCTCGTTTTGTTTGTCCAGAGTCATGGTCTTGCCAGGTGTTTTTGAACATAGGTTTGCATGTGTTTCCAACTTGAACAAACAGGGTTCTAATTTTTGAATGTCTGCTGATCAAAAGAACAGGCCGAGGTTCACCCTGAACAGGACAATGCCCCACTCCAATGATATCTTTTGGGCCGTCTAGAATTGATCCCGCTTAAATCACGCACCTTTAGGACTCTGCGGGATGGTTGCTGCTGGTCGCCACAAGGGCAACGCGTGTTCGACGTTCATGGCCTGGCATGCCAAATAGGCATGCATCACACATGAGTCCTATTTGGTTGCCTCCAGTTCGCACAATCGTCTTGTAGAAATGGAGTTGGATGCGTGTGACCGCACACGAAGCCTTGCACGGTACGCTGCGATGGGCACTTAGCTCCCGTGTTCATGTGCAGTCGTCCTCTGGCAGGGTTGCAGTTGGATTGATCCGTCCGGGCGTTCGGAGCGCGTTCCACTGGGCCTGGAGCACGGCCGCAGGCCAGCGTGACAGCGTTGAAAGCCAGCGCGGAGGTCCAGGTGGGAGCCGCATTTCGGGCCGAGGGTGGGCTGGGGTTGTGGGAATTGGTTTTCAACTCCGTTACCCCGGCAATTGCGGACTTCAGGGCTGGTTGAATTCCTGAACATTCTCAGGAGCCTGCATGGGCCGAAATTAGAGGCTGCGAACGTGGTATGGTTGGATTTCCACCACGGCTACGGCTGAAATCTCTGGGGTGGACCAGGTAACACTGAA